CGACGGTCACACAACACGCCGGATGCACTCTTTCCATCCAGCTCGTATTCTATGGTTGAGATCTCCATCTAATTCTCCGTTCTCTTGCAAGATAGATCCTAGGTAGCGAAAACGATCGCTTTTTGTGATCTTCGCTAGATTGCTCCGGTCATTAGTGTGGGTAAGTATATAAATGGATAGAGATAGGAAAGCAAACACAAGATGTACGTGGTTCACCCAGATTGGCTACGTCCACGGAATAGAAGAGTTCTCATTAATTGTGTGAAGGGTTTACACAAGTACATAGGTTCAAGCTCTCATTTAGTGAGTACAAGTGAATGATTTAGTACAAATGACATTAGGAAATATTGTGGGAGAATGATCTCGTAATCACGAAACGAAACTTCTAAGTATCGGAGTGTGGTGTCGTCTTGACTTGCCTTATCTGTCTCATAGGTAGATGTGGCATCTTCTCTGGAAGTACTCTTCCTCCATCCAGGAGTGGTGGTATCTTTAACTGGTGGAGATGCACACAAGGTAAATGTATCAATTTCAATTTCACTTGAAGCTTACTTGTAGTTTCAGGCTTGGTCAAGCGCGATACAAACCATGTAGTAGGAGTCCCCCAAGTCGCCGAGCTAGGGGGTCTGCTGAAAGAGGTGACAGACAAGGTAAGCAATCAGAGCTCCGACTGATTGTTCACCTTCTCCCCATCTTGCAGCAGCATGAAGGATAAAGAGAAGAAAAATGAGAAGAGATGATATGAGATACTTTTGCTTTTGAAGAAGTAACTTTCCACAGGCTTATTCTTGAACTGAGCTGGAGGGTTTTCTGGTTTCCTCCAGAGTATAAGGCCGACTGAAGAATTTGAGGGTCAAAACAAGTCCATCAAATCTAGAGTACGTTCCACCCTGCTGATATGGGATACTTTTGCTTTTGACAGAGTAATAAATGTATCGGCACGTGTGCTGTTACGCTTGTCTCCACATGCTTCCTTGTATCCTTCGCACTTGCCCTATCTGTTCCTCAAGCAGATGCGGAATCTTCCCTGGAAACATAAGATGTTGAAGATGAGTACTCGAGAGCAATGCCAGGTAAGTAATCAGGTAAGGGGTTCCAGGCAGTCAGTTCCTGGCTGGAAGCTTGATTCCAAGTGCTGACTGATTGCTCTCTTTCTCCTTGTCTTGCAGGTAAAAACAAGGCCAAAAGAAAAGACAGGGAAAAAGCATGATATGGGATACTCTTGCTTTTAACCCTGATGATATGAGATATTCTTGCTCTAGTATAGCTTGTTTGCAGAGGTATTATCAGGGGGAAAGAAAGCTGAATATTTCGAAAGGCTTCGTTGGGAGTGTCCTCTCAGATATGATGAAGGGTTGAGCATTTTTGCAGGTCTGCCTGTCCGTTGGGGATGGAGGTCGACATATATAGGAGTCTCCCTAACAACAAGTAGTAATGTTATTCCTTTACCCTGCTTGGTCATAGCACGGTAGTGGGAGCTGCCAGTTTCACATGTTTTAACTCTGTCAGAGCACTTTGAAAAAGTGGTCTGTGGTATCTGGCTCTCGAGATTCGGAGAACGATGCCTCTTCGATTTTTGAGAAAGCAATCATGCTGGGGGTATGACTCTCGAGATTCGGAGAGCAGTGTCTCTTCGATTTTTGAGGAAGTAATCATGTTGGGAGTCTGGCTCTCGAGATTCGGAGGGCGGTGCCTCTTCGATTTTTGGAGCAAGCAATCTTGTTGGGAGTGTTGTCTCGAATGTGAGTAAAGGTTGGGCATGTTTGCTAGTCTACCTTGCCACGAAGCACAAAGGTTGACACACAGGGACTTTCCAATTATCCAGCAATGGTACTGTTCCTTTACCCTCTCTTCGATTTTGAGAAAGTAGTCATGTTGGGAGTCTGGCTCTCGAGATTCGAAGGACGGTGCCTCTTCGATTTTGGAGCAAGCAATCTTATTGGGAGTGTTTTCTCTCGAATGTGAGTAAAGGTTGGGCATGTTTGCTAGTCTACCTTGCCACGAAGCACAGAGGTTGACACACAGGGACTTTCCAATTATCCAGCAGTGGTACTGTTCCTTTGTTCCACACAGTTGTGGGTAATAATATGGTAGCTAGACCTTCAAAATTTATGTGTCTAAACTTTTGTTAGTGCTGTTTCTTTGCTATTCTTTTACCTTTCTTGGTCAGAGCGATGTAGTGGGAGCTGCAAGCTTCACGTGCTCAACTTTGGCAGAGAACTTTGGCAAAGTTATTTGTGGTACCCATGAGCTATTGTTGCGTGTGGGAAGTGGGTGATTGAACAGTAAGATTCATGTGCTTTCTACTTCACCAGAAGTCTTCGACAGAATGCCCATAATTTCTGCAAAGCTGAGTGTGCGTGTGACAGTTGCTGACAAGGCTAGAAAAGTAGGTGCCTCTTCGATTTCTGAGATCGGCCCTCGTGGTCTCTGAGCAGCCCAGCTTTTGAGAAAGCGAGCGCCTCTTCGATTGATTCGGAGAACGATACCTCATCGATTTTTGAGAAAGCAATCATGCTGGGGGTCTGGCTCTCGAGATTCGGGGAGCAGTGTCTCTTCGATTTTTGAGAAAGTAATCATGTTGGGAGTCTGGCTCTCGAGATTCGGAGGGCGGGTGCCTCTTCGATTTTGGAGCAAGCAATCTTGTTGGGAGTGTTTTCTCGAATGTGAGTAAAGGTTGGGCATGTTTGCTAGTCTACCTTGCCACGAAGCACAGAGGTTGACACACAGGGACTTTCCAATTATCCAGCAATGGTACTGTTCCTTTACCCTCTCTTTCGATTTTTAAGAAAAAGTAGTCATGTTGGGAGTCTGGCTCTCGAGATTCGAAGGACGGTGCCTCTTCGATTTTGGAGCAAGCAATCTTATTGGGAGTGTTTTCTCGAATGTGAGTAAAGGTTGGGCATGTTTGCTAGTCTACCTTGCCACGAAGCACAGAGGTTGACACACAGGGACTTTCCAATTATCCAGCAGTGGTACTGTTCCTTTACCCTTGTGGGTAATAATATGGTAGCTAGACCTTCAAAATTTATGGGTCTAAACTTTGTTAGTGTTGTTTCTTTGCTATTCTTTTACCCTTCTTGGTCAGAGCGATGTAGTGGGAGCTGCAAGCTTCACGTGCTCAACTTTGGCAGAGAACTTTGGCAAAGTTATCTGTGGTACCCATGAGCTATTGTTGCGTGTGGGAAGTGGGTGTGATTGAACAGTAAGATTCATGTGTTTTCTACTTCCCCAGAAGTCTTTGACAGAATGCCCATAATTTTCGCAAAACTGAGTGTGCGTGTGACAGGTGCTGACAAGGCTGGAAAAAGGCTGGAAAAGTAGGTGCCTCTTCGATTTCTGAGATCGGCCCTCGTGGTCTCTGGGGAGCCCAGCTTTTGAGAAAGCGAGCGCCTCTTCGATTTTTTGAGATCGGCCTTCGTGGTCTTTGAGCAGCCCAACTTTTGAGAAAGCAAACGCCTCTTCGATTTCTGAGATCAACCCTCGTGATCTCTAAGCAGCCCAGCTTTTGAGAAAGCAAACGCCTCTTCGATTTCTGAGCAGGCGCCTCTTCGATTTCTGAAGCTTCGTCGAGTGCAGATTTTTATAGGGGTTGGCATTAAGTTCCAAAGCACACTTGAATCTCCACCAGTAGAAGCTTCATTCTTGCACTTCTAAGATCTTGATTTGTCCGACCTCTTCTCTCTTCAACACCTTTGAAAATGTCTGGCCCCTCCGACCGTCGTTTTGACTTGAACCTTGTTGAAGAGGCAGCCCCGCCTTCTCCAGACAACATATGGCGCCCATCCTTCGTCTCCCCTGGTCCTCTTACCGTTGGGGATTCCGTGATGAAGAAGAATATGATATGACCGCTGCGGTGGTGGCCAGGAACCTTCTCACTCCCAAAGATAACAGACTACTTTCCAAACGGTCTGATGAGTTAGCTGTTAAGGATTCGCTGGCTCTCAGTGTTCAGTGTGCAGGTTCTGTGTCTAATATGGCCCAACGCCTATTTGCTCGAACCCGCCAAGTTGAATCATTGGCGGCTGAAGTGATGAGTCTCAAACAGGAGATTAGAGGGCTCAAGCATGAGAATAAACAGTTGCACCGGCTCGCACATGACTATGCTACAAACATGAAGAGGAAGCTTAACCAGATGAAGGAAACTGATGGTCAAGTTTTACTTGATCATCAGAGATTTGTGGGTTTGTTCCAAAGGCATTTATTGCCTTCGTCTTCTGGGGCTGTACCGCGTAATGAAGCTCCAAATGATCAACCTCTGATGCCTCCTCCTTCTAGGGTTCTGTCCAGTACTGAGGCTCCAAATGATCCCCCTCCGGTGCCTTCTCTTTCTGGGGCTCTACCGACTGCTGAGACTTCTCCTAAGCAACCTTTGTGAAGGCTCCCTCTTGTGTGCTTATTTTTGACTCATGTATATGTACATATTTGTAGCTTATCGGGGATATCAATAAATAAGCTTTCCTTCATTTCAACGTATTGTGTTAAATACACCAAAGCCTTCTTCGCTAAGTTCTTTGAATTTTCTTTTGTTAAAGCTTGTATGTTGAAGCTTTCTGAGTGGAGCATGTAGGTTGGGGTAGTGTTCCCTTAATTTCCCGAGTGAGGAAAACTTCTCGGTTGGAGACTTGGAAAATCCAAGTCACTGAGTGGGATCGGCTATATGAATCTTAGAACGCCATTGTGCTCGATCCTGTGTCATGTCCTTCGTTAGATCCAAGTACTCTAAGTCTTTTCTTAGAGTCTCTTCCAAAGTTTTCCTAGGTCTTCCTCTACCCCTTCGGCCCTGAACCTCTGTCCCATAGTCGCATCTTCTAATCGGAACGTCAGTAGGCCTTCTTTGCACATGTCCAAACCACCGTAACCGATTTTCTCTCATCTTTGTGACTCATTTCGAACTAATACTAACTAATTGTTAGTCAAGTGAGAAATTTTCTAATTAGAGAAAAAGGTCCTAAATTTGAATCGTAACTCCAACTTTGATAAAATAAAAATAAAAATAAAAATAAAATACCACTTAGATTTAAACAGGACAAAAATATCTAATATTGTGTTGGGGTAGTGCTTCTTTGGTTTTAGGTAGTAGAGCACTGAGCACGAGACTTAAAAAAGCTACCAACAAATAGGAGCATTCAAGCCATGGTCTTTGATTTCAGAAGGAAATGGAAATTATAATTGCAATTGCCTCAAAAATTGGAGAGTCATTGGTCGCACCAATAGGAACAGAGTCTGCCTATTTGATTAATTACCATTCCAACCTAGAAAATCTTAAGCGTGAGATAAAAAAGCTCTGTGACAAGAAAAATGAAGTGCAGGGATGGGTAAATGCTGCCAAAAGGAACGGTAAATTTATCCACCCTGATATTCAGAGTTGGCTAAAGAATGTGGACGAAATGATCCAAAAAGTGTCGCATTTTGAGGTTGAGATTGACAGGAAAAGGCGATGTATGTATCGATGGAGCTTGAGTCGGAAAGCCTATAAGATTACACAACATGTTCTCCAGCTCCAAAACGAAGGAACATTTGAAAATGTGGCCTATGCTGCACCTTCACGAGAGATATGGTCAACATTCAAAGACGGATTTAAACATTTCAAGTCCAGAATGGAAAACATGAATGAGGTGATAGAGGGTTTGAAGAGGGAAGAAGTAAGAATGATCGGGATTTGTGGAATGGGGGGTGTGGGTAAAACCACAATGGCGAAAGAAATCATCAAAAGATTAGCAGAACGGAACATGTTTGATAAAACTGTAATGGCAACTGTGTCTCAAAGCCCAAGTATTAAGACGATCCAGTTGGACATTGCAGCACAAATAGATTTGAAATTTGATGAGGATTCTGAGTCCGGAAGAGCACTAAAGCTGCATGACAGACTCATGGAAATAAGGAGGATACTGATTGTGTTAGATGATGTATGGACAGAGCTTAATTTTGAGGCTATAGGACTTCCTTATGGACATACTCATAAAGGGTGCAAAATTTTGTTGACATCACGGAATTTGGAAGTCTGCAATGCGATGGAAAGTCAACAAATTATTGCAGTCCCAACTTTAACAACAGAAGAATCACGGGAGCTCTTTAGAGAAATCGTAGGTGAATCCTTCGATGATCCAGATTTCCATTCCATTGCAGAAGAGGTCGTGAATGAATGTGGAGGTTTACCTATTGCAATTGTAACTGTTGGAAAAGCCCTAGAAAAGAAAAAGAAGCACGAATGGGTTAATGCCCTTAATCAGCTGCGAAAGTCTATCCCAGATAACATCCCTGGACTAAACGGCAAAGTTTATTCAAGCATAAAATGGAGTTATGATAGATTGGAGAGTGATGAAGCCAAGTCATGTCTTTTACTTTGTTGTTTATTTCCAGAAGATTATAGCATTCCAATTGAGGATTTGGTTCGATATGGGTGGGATCGAGGATATTTTAGCAGCAGCGATACTTTGGAAGAAGCAAGAAATAAAGTGCATTCTTTGGTTGACCAACTACAAAGAAGGTTTTTGTTACTAGATAATGACTGGAGTGGGACTACAAAAATGCATGACATAGTTCGCGATGTTGTCATATCAATTGCTTCAAGAGATCCACATGGATTTCTGATAAGAAGTAATGCTGAAAATAAAGGGTGGCCAAATCTAGCTACATATGACCATTACACTACAATCTCACTTGTTGGCGATTTGGAGATTCAAGATGGTTTGAAATGCCCAAAACTTGAGTTTCTACAGACGATGAAAGGACGTTTTTCAGAAGGTAGCATGGACAACATTTGTAAGGCGATGAAAGAACTGAAGGTTTTAGCTTTGGTGCAAATGGAAATGGAAGACCTAGGCTCATCAAGCTCACTAGGATTACTGAAGAACCTGCGGACCTTGACCCTAAATGGGTCTAAATTTGATGGCATGTCTACTGATGTTATTGGGAGTTTGGAGAATTTAGAAATCCTCAGCTTTCGGGATTGTGATTCCATGCGTGAGTTGCCGAGGGAAATTGGACGACTTAAACAGTTAAGGTTGTTAGATACGACAAATTGCAGGAATCTTGAGGTGATTCCACATGGTATCTTCTCCAGCTTATGTAGACTTGAAGAGTTATATATGCTTGATAGCTTTAATAAATGGGAAATTGAAACAGGAAGAGAAGAGAAGGGGATGGCAAGCATTTCTAAGGTGATGTCTCTGTCTCATCATTTGAAGGTTCTATCCATAAATATACCCCCCAATTTCATCCACTTGTTGCCAAAAGACTTAGTCTTGAAAAGCCCAAGATTCGCTATACGGCTTACACCAGCAAGGTATTGTTTCCCCACAACTTATGCATTCGAAAATTGTTTGGCAATTGATGAAAGTGATGCGAGGGAACTGATGGAGAGTCAAGCAGTTAGACTTTTGTTGAAAAAATCTAAAAGATTGATTTTGAACTATGTTAAGAATTTCTCTGTCCTCACTGATTTAGACCAAGAGGGATTTCAAGATTTGAAAGTTTTGGCTCTTTTGAATTGTCCAAATACCGAGTATCTTGCAAATGGAACAAGTGCGACCCAACAGGCACTCTTTCCTCGCATACAGTCAGTTAGTAAGCTTTCGGATGGCTTTTTGACCAACCTAAGATGCCTTTATTTGACAAATTGTGATGTCTTAAAATATGCCTTTTCACTATCAGTAGCGAGAAACTTGGTACAACTCCAGGAATTAAACGTTAATGGATGTGATCAAATGGAAGAAATTGTGTCGAAGCAGGGGAGGGAACATGAGGAGGAAGCCGATATGATATCTTTCCATAAATTAACCAATTTGACTCTCGAGGGTCTAGGGAGTTTGGTTGGTTTCTTCCAAGCCAACAAGCTATACTCCAACCAAGAGGTATGTCCCACTCTCCAATCTCTATGATATGAGGAGGCAGCCAATATGTGGAAATTTGAAATTGTTTAACTGATAATGATTTTTCTTTTTCAGGAAACAACGGCAAGGGTTGAGCATCAATCTGCAGGCATATTTGAAAAAGCAATATTTCCATCAAAGTGCATTTCATGGTTTCCATGTTTAGAAGAGGTAGAATTGGAAGATATGAAGTTTGAAGGCGTGCTATTTGATCTGAAAATCCATGGCCAGACAACTCCAATATTTCCCCAGTTAAGTAAGTTGGAGATAATCCAGGGTTCGTTTACACACTTGTGGAAAAACATTTCGTCTGGATTTCAGGGCTTTCGAAATTTGAGATATTTGGCAATGAGAGGATGTTGTGGTCTAAAATATGTGTTCTCGCATTTAATTGCCCGAGAACTTTTGAATCTTCAAGAGGTAAAGATATCTAGATGTCCGGACATGGAAACTATAGTTAGAATCACAGAGGAAAATGAAGAAGAGGCGACAAAATACATGATTTTGTTTCCGAAACTGAACACATTTGAACTAAAATACCTGCCTCGTCTCACAAGTCTTTGTCCAGAGGGATTTACATTTCTATGGTCATCCGCAAAAAATATGCACGTGAAAAAATGTGAAAATTTGAAGACATTGGGTGCTGTAATTCCACAAAGAAAGAAGTTGGAGAATAAGTCTGAGAAGGATTCAACAAGTCATGATTTCAGCACTTCCCCAACAAGTTCATCAAATTGGTGCCCCGCTGGATGTGGATGCGCACCATATTCAAGACCAAACGCCCACCGCTCCATTGAAATATTGCCACGTCCAGTTAATTTGGAGGTAAGCTTTTAAATTAGGTTCAATTAACCTTTATAAGTACAACTTTTAATTAGTATTGTACTCATCTTGTTGATCGTGTTTAATTTTCTAGGTTACACCAACTAATCTTGAGGACTCAAATGATGATGATGATAATCTCGAAAATCTTACTGTAAGTGACTGTAATTCAATGGAAGTGATTTTCCAACTAAAGGGACCGAAGCATGAAGAAAGTAATCACTCCATTGAAGCATTCAATAAATTGAGGTCCTTCCAGTTACATAAGTTGCCAAGTTTAACGCGTGTTTGGGAGGTGGGTAGTTCACAACCAATGTTCACAGGAAGCAGTTTTGGAAACTTGAAATCGTTGCAGGTCGATTGTTGCAACCAGTTGAAATACTTGTTTCTGTCCTCCATAGTCAAACTTCTCGTGAGTATAGAGGACATAGAAGTTAAGAAGTGTGAGCAGATGGAAGAAATCGTTGCCGCAGAAGAAGAAACTGATGGAACAATTACATTACCTAAAGTGAAGTCCATCAAGCTTCAAAGTCTGCCAAAACTCAAGTATTTTTGTGGTGAAGCTTATACTTTGAAGTTGCCGTCTTTGGAGTTATTGAAGGTTATTAATGTGCAAGACATAAGGCCATTTGATTCTAAGCTTGTTGACACGCATAATCCCCGATTGCAAGTAAAACCCACATTTCGACAGGAATGGACAAGGTATGCTTTAGATTAATGGACAAGGAATCAACAGTTCATATTTATTTTGAGAAAAGTGTTCTCAAAATTTAGTCAAATACCATATATATGTGCATATGTTCACACTAAAGTGTATTCAAGTAATTTTATTTTTTAAAACTCAATTCTATCCCAAGAAAACATCTGTCTTTTATTTCTAAAACTGGAAGGATAATGATGATGAATTGTACAGTGAGGATGAAAATGAAGATGAGAATTCTATGGCGAGGATGAAGATGACGAAATCGACGGCGAGGATGAAGATGACGAAATCGACAGGGAGGACGAACACAAATGACTGATCAAGCACAAAGGTTAGCATGTTTCCATCTCCAACTTCTTCTAGGTTTATTAAAAACTGATGAAATTATCTATGAAGTACACAAAAAAATTTTCTACCATGTTTTATAGAATATGTACATACATGGATAGTACTTAATTAAACAATAAGGATCGTCGAACCACATTCTGCTACTAATTCATTTTTTCAAGGTACCCAATGCAAGTCGATCTATAATATGCACTCTAAAAGTACTAACCTTGAGAAGCCATTCATATGAACAAGATTGAACCATGATCAGCTACGAACAAGCAAAGATCTTCCTCTTTCTCTACACACCTTATGCACTTCTATATGGGGTAGTGTTTTATGCTAGAATAATATGTATAAAAGTGGGACCTAAGCCTCATATTTATAGGTGAGAGTATTAGGTTTCTTGCCCATAAAGAAAACCCTAATACAGATCTTTAGCACCTCTAAAATCCATGACCTAATAGGATAGATATTCCCAAAAATTATTGCTATACTTCACCATAAGTAATCCGGAATAATCAAATATTACTTCCTTTCTTTTATCCTTAATCAATTAGGACTCCTAAATAGATGTAAGCCCAATAAAAGTCTTACACCCAATAGCAGTCAAGATGGAAGAAGCTTTTCGGATTAGCAACTGCCTCAAGAAACCTTTATCAGATTCCACGATAATATTGGAATAACCTTTTTCTGTTAGCAAGTTTCACCTGATCTACAACAAGCATAACTGTTTTGAGAAACACATATACAATAAACATAACCGTAGTGCTAAGTGACTCGAAAATTAATTTGGTCCTTAAACCGCTATATTCTGAAACACATGTACAATAAGCATTACCATTTGAACTTATTCCAACTTCAGTGATTTCTAATATTCTCCAATGCATGCAGGACAAGAGTTTACAGAACGTTGTGGCTTCAGCAATTCGTTTACCATATCATATGTACAAGCCAATAAAAGGTCATTTGTTGCACCAGAATTTCATTCCAAAAATACTATTTATGTTGCTTATTTGATGTATTATAAATTTCGATTGTGATTATTACTGTTTGTTTCTAAATTAGTGTTTGCTTATTTGTTATGGTAATTTGGAAAAGTTGTCTCTAGCTACCAATATTTGCATTTCAATTTATAATGCTAAAAGTTCTGTAATACCATAGACGTGTAAGATGAATGACATGCTGGAGGAATGACACGTGTAATATTGATCATGTGTAACCTAAATAATATTATGATACACTATAATAATATGATCATTCACCATAAGGTCTGATATTAATTCATAAAATCTGGTTTTCCCCTAAACGTAGGAAATCATATTTATCTAGGCATGCTTAATATTTCATAAAAGAAAAAACATTTCTTAAATAAATGTCCACTCACACCTCCGGCTAGCTCTCCCTTGAGGAGCCTTGTCTACCAAATAGGTAAGTTCAAGCAACTTCAAGAGAGAATTTCCTCCACATTAAGTCTTAACCATCCACTGGACAGCAGGCAATTCAAAACCAAAGTAAGCTGCTGAATACAGCTACAATAAACAAGGAATCAGGCTAAGCTATTGTCTTCATCATAAAATGATTTTGGCCCCCATTTTCTAATTTCGTACCACATTTTCACATTCTTTCCATGAATTTTATAATTCCTATGCAACAGAGTTCATTCATTGCCTATTCACAACATTACAAGGTTCTACAGAGTTCAATCCCACCGTGTTATAGACATGCTTCAACTATCAACCGGGAACGTAATCGTTAGGGGTTTCAACAACTTCAGAGATACAACAATTACGATAAGTCTCATCTCGGACATTCATACAGAAAATTGAATAAAATTTGAAATCAAGAATCAATCCCAAAAGTGAAAGTTGAAAATTCGGGAAAAGAACTTACATTGGCGAACAGCCCACGAGAAGAGGATCATTTCTACCTCTTGGGTCGAGCTCCAATTCTGGCGATATTGGCCGGAAGTTGGCCGGAAAACCCTGGGTCACCGTTTCTTAAATTTGAGGTTGAGGAAAGTCGCCTACGAATCTATAGAAACTAACTTGGGGATTGGATGAAGGACGGCAAGAGCATTCTGGATGTGTAGTTTGAGAGCCTTTGGTGAGCCGTGGACGACAGAGCTGTTGCGTCGGCACTCGGCAGTCGTCGGCTTGCTGTTTAATGGGGCTCCTGTTGCAGCGCAAAAGAGGATACGGGAGGAGGAGAGAAGATGGGTTTCTCCCACTTTTTAGATCTTAATTTTTTTCCCTTTTTTTAATTTTTTTCCCTTTTTATATATCGTTTACACACTTGTGGAAAAACATTCCGTCTGGATTTCAGGGCTTCCAAAATTTGAGATATTTGGCAATGAGAGGATGTTGTGGTCTAAAATATGTGTTCTCGCATTTAATTGCCCGAGAACTTTTGAATCTTCAAGAGGTAAAGATATCAAAATGTCCGGATATGAAAACTATAGTCAGAATTACAGAGGAAAATGAAGAAGAGGCGATAAAATACATGATTTTGTTTCCGAAACTGAACACATTTGAACTGGTAGACCTGCCTCGTCTCTCAAGTCTTTGTCCAGAGGGATTTACATTTCTATGGTCATCCGCAAAAAATATGCGCGTGGAAAACTGTGAAAAATTGAAGACATTGGGTGCCGTAATTCCACAAAGAAAGAAGTTGGAGAATAACATGAAGAAGGATTCAACAAGTCATGATTTCAGCACTTCCCCAACAAGTTCATCAAATTGGTGCCCCGCTGGATGTGGATGCGCACCATATTCAAGACCAAACGCCCACCGCTCCATTGAAATATTGCCACGTCCAGTTAATTTGGAGGTAAGCTTTTAAATTAGGTTCAATTAACCTTTATAAGTACAACTTTTAATTAGTATTGTACTCATCTTGTTGATCGTGTTTAATTTTCTAGGTTACACCAACTAATCTTGAGGACTCAAATGATGATGATAATCTTGAAAATCTTACTGTAAGTGACTGTAATTCAATGGAAGTGATTTTCCAACTAAAGGGACCGAAGAATGAAGAAAGTAATCACTCCATTGAAGCATTCAATAAATTGAGGTCCTTCCAGTTACATAAGTTGCCAAGTTTAACGCGTGTTTGGGAGGTGGGTAGTTCACAACCAATGTTCACAGGAAGCAGTTTTGGAAACTTGAAATCGTTGCAGGTCGATTGTTGCAACCAGTGTTCTAAAAATCGGCCTAGGCGGCCGCCTAGGCGCTAGGCGGTGGGCAACCGCCGGGATTAACGTAAAATCGGAAGAAAAATCGGGACAAGGATTAGGCGGGTGTCGAGGTGGCCTGAGCGGCCCTTGGGCGGCCTAGGAGGGCAACTGGGTGGCCTAGGCGGTCTGAGAATTTCAATTTTTCTATGTTCGAACTTGAGAAAGGATGAATGCTTCTGGTTTTTCTGGGCTTCTGGTGGTCTGTGTTCGCGAAGGAGGAAGAAGATGAGAGAATTAGTTTCTCTCTCTTCTTTCCATACCCACGCACGTGATGTATTAAACTTTTTTTTTTATTTTTTATTTTTTATTTTTTGTCCATTAAAATGTGGACAGCTAGCCTTGACTTTTCTTAAAGAATAAAGGTTGTCAGGCTATTAATTTTTGTGTCATCCATCAAGTGCTATGGATTTTTTTTGTAGATAGCGATGGAGCACTCATCTCTTCCTGGACAAAGGGCAGACTAGCTGCCATCTATAAAAAAATTAATAGCCTGACAAAAAATTAATTTTTTTCTCATTAAAAAAACATTGATTGTCAGGTTATCAATTCATAGCATCAAGTGATATGGATTTTTTGGACTTGTTAGATAAGCATTTTATTATTCTTTTACTATCTTATTCAGAGATTTCATATAAGTATAATTTTTTGTAAGTATCAGTATACATTTATTTACAAGATATATAAGAAATTTACCTAAATCCGCCTAGACCGCCTAGGCGCCCGCCTAGACCCCGCCTAACCGCCTAGGCGCTAGGCGCCAGTTCACCGCCCGACTAGCGCCTAGCGTTTTTTAGAACCTTGGTTGCAACCAGTTGAAATACTTGTTTCTGTCCTCCATAGTCAAACTTCTCGTGAGTATAGAGGACATAGAAGTTAAGAAGTGTGAGCAGATGGAAGAAATCGTTGCCGCAGAAGAAGAAACTGATGAAACAATTACATTACCTAAAGTGAAGTCCATCAAGCTTGCAAGTCTGCCAAAACTCAAGTATTTTTGTGGTGAAGCTTATACTTTGAAGTTGCCATCTTTGGAGTTATTGAGCGTTATTAGTGTGCAAGACGTAGGGCCATTTGATCCTAAGCATGTTGACACGCATAATCCCCGATTGCAAGTAAAAACCGCATTTCGACAGGAATGGACGGGGACCTCAATGCCACTCTAAGGAACATTTATGACACAAGGTATGCTTTAAATTAATGTTTCTAATTTGCAGTCACTTTTGTGTCCACCTGGAAGACCGCATCATCAATATACAACCACTGAACCAACAAATATTTTCTCCTAAACAATTACAATTACGTCAATATAAACTTTTAGAGACTACAGTAATGCTTCATGCTGTTTGTTCCAACTCTTTCGATCCTTGATGCATGCGTGGGATTTCTAATGTTTTTACGAAGGACTGAAGAATAGCTAGGTTGATAATTTGCAGTATGTGAGCTATATATGCTCAATCTTACATTTCTATTTATTCAACCAACAAATACGTTCTGGTTTCGAGCTACAAGCATAATATGGCTAACACCACCACAATTTTGACTACAAATTTAGGGAAATCAATATCAACCGTTCATATTTATATGTGCATATGTTCACACTAAAGTGTATTTAAGTAATTTTATTTTTTAAAACTCAATTCTATCTCAAGAAAACATCTGTCTTTTATTTCTAAAACAGGAAGGATAACGATGACGAATTGTACAGTGAGGATGAAAATGAAGATGACGAATTCTCTGGGGAGGATGAAGATGACTAACAGAATTGATTGATCAAACACAAAGGTTAGCATGTTTCCATCTCCAACTTCTTCTAGGTTTAGTAAAAACTGATGAAATTATCTATAAAGTACTCGAAAAATTATTCTTCCATGTTTTATAGTATATACATAAATGGATAGTACTTTAAAAATTGAACAATAAGGATTGTCGAACCACATTCTGCTACCTAATTCATTTTTTCGAGGTACCCAATGCAAGTCGATCTATAATATGCACTCTAAAAGTACTAACCTTGAGAAGCCATTGATATGAACAAGATTGAACCATGATCAGCAACGAACAAGCAAAGATCTTCCTCTCTCTCTACACCCCTTATGCACTCCTATATGGGGTGGTGTTTTGTGCTAGAATAATGTGTATAAAAGTGGGATCTAAGCCTTATATTTATAGGTGAGAGTATTAGGTTTCTTGCCCATGAAGAAACCCCTAATACAGATCTTTAGCACCTCTAAAATCCATGACCTAATAGGATAGATATTCCCAAAAATTATTGCTATACTTCACCATAAATAATCCGGACTAATCAGATATTACTTCCTTTCTTTTATCCTTAATTAATTAGGACTCCTAAATAGATGTAAGCCCAATAAAAGTCTTACACCCAATAGCAGTTAAGATGGAAGAAGCTTTTGAGATTAGCATCTGCCTCAAGAAACCTTTATCAGATTCCACAATAATATTGGAATAACCTTTTTCTCTTAGCATGTCTCACCTGATCTACAACAAGTATAACCATTTTGAGAAACACATATACAATAAACATAACCGTAGTGCTAAGTGACTTGAAAATTAATTTAGTCCTTAAACCGCTATTTTCTGAAACACAAATACAATAAGCATTACCATTTCAACTTATTCCAATTTCAGTGTTTTCTAATATTCTCCAATGCATGCAGGACAAGCGTTTACAGAACGTTGTGGCTTCAGCAATTCGTTTACTATATCATATGTACAAGTCAATAAAAGGTCATTTGTTGCACCAGAATTTCATTCCAAAAATACTATTTATGTTGCTTATTTGATGTATTATAAATTTCGATTGTGATTATTACTGTTTGTTTCTAAATTAGTGTTTGCTTATTTGTTATGGTAATTTGGAAAAGTTGTCTCTAGCTACCAATATTTGCATTTCAATTTATAATGCTAAAAGTTCTGTAATACCATAGACGTGTAAGATGAATGACATGTGTAAGCTAAATAATATTATGATACACTATAACAATATGATCATTCACTATAAGGTCTGATATTAATTCATAAAATCTGGTTTTCCCCTAAACGTAACGGAAATCATATTTATCTAGGCATGCTTAATATTTGATAAAGAAAAAAACATTTCTTAAATAAATGTCCACTCACACCTCCGGCTAGCTCTCCCTTGAGGAGCCTTGTCTACCAAATAGGTAAGTTCAAGCAACTTCAAGAGAGAATTTCCTCCACGTTAAGTCTTAAACATCCACTGGACAGCAGGCAATTCAAAACCAAAGTAAGCTGCTGAATACAACTACAATAAACAAGGAATTAGGCTAAGTTATTGTCTTCATCATGACATGATTTGGCCCCCATTTTCTAATTCCGTACCACATTTTCACATTATTTCCATAAAATAATTTTATAATTCCTATGCAAAAGAGTTCATTCATTGCCTATTTCACAACAATACAAGGTTCTACAGAGTTCAATCCCACACCATGTTATAGAAATGCTTCAACTATCAACCAGGACGGTAATCGTTAGGGGCTTCAACAACTTCACAGATACAACAATTACGATAAGTCTCATCTCCGACATTCATACAGAAAATCGAATAAAATTCGAAATCAAGAATCAATCCCAAAACTGAAAGTTGAAAATTTGGAAAAAGAACTTACATTGGAGAACAGCCCACGAGAAGAGGATCATTTCTACCTCTTGGGTCGAGGTCCAATTCCTGCGATATTGGCCGGAAGTTGGCCGGAAAACCCTGGGTCACCGTTTCTTAAATTAGAAATTGAGGAAAATCGCCTACGAATTTATAGAAACTAACAGGGATTGGATAAAGGACGGCAAGAGCATTCTGGATGTGTAGTTTGACAGGCGTTAGTGACCTGTGAACGACGGAGACGTTGTGTCGGCAGTCGTCGGCTCGCTAGGAGAAGAGGGAGAGAGGATGCAGGAGGGAGGAGAGACAAAAAGAAAAGGAAAAGAAACAAAGAAATTTAAAATAGAAATGAAAAAGAAAGGTAACCGGACTGCAAAGGTAATCAGCATACAAAATTATCATACTATCCTTAAACTTTGTAGCTATGTGAAATCTTCATTTTAATTCTAAATTTTCTTATGCTTGCGCTCACAGGTTCTTATTAGAGCAGTTCCACCGGAGGTGGAATAGCCCAGTACCCAGTCAAAAAATCAGGTTAGCACCCTGTTAATTCACTCCAGCCCGTGAAATCGACTAGCACCCAGCCTAAGCCAGTCTACGGGCCGGCCTAAAATCGACAGACCTTGGGACCGACCTATCTGACGTCAGCGTGGCGTCGGAGGGCATATGACGTCAGAGAAGGAGTTGTTGTGGAGGCTGAGGAGCAGAGCTGGTTGAGGCGGGAGAGGATGTCGAGAGGGAAGGAACCATGGAGGGAGAACGACGGAAGGACAAAGCGACAGCGTCGGAGGTGTGGAGATGCAGGAGGACGAATCGACGGTGTTGAAGGACAGGAGGTGTGGAGACGCTGTAGAGGAGCTAGTTGTTGAGATGTGGAGATGCAGGAGGTGAGGAGATGCAGGAGATGTAGGAAGTGCAGGGGTGGATGGCGTGCAGAAATGGAAGGGAAAGGAGGTGTGGAAGATGAGAAAATAATAATAATTTTTTTTTATAAAGTTAGAAATTAAAAATAAAAATATTATTTTTTATTATTTTATAATAAAAAATAATAATTTTTTAATAAAATTGACTAGGCTATTTTTTTTAGGGATAGAGATGCATTGGCCTATTGCTGTTCATTATGGTTTATCACTGTTCACTTGAGTGGATAAATGCACTGGATGCTGGCGTAAAGTCTTTAGGGGTGGACTTGCTCTTATGCGCACTACGAAAAGATATTATGTGAGTTTTCGTTGAGAATTTTTTTGATGGAGGCATCCATGATTTGCAAGGCCCACCATGGCAAAGCTAGGTATCGGCCTGACATGTGAAGACACCATCGCGGAGAAGAATCTGGAAAGTTCAATCCTTGTATTTTTCTTATATAATGGTGTCGTTTTAGTGAACTGAATGTTTCGATTCCAACATCTAAAATACTACAATTGGAATTTTTACATACTACAATTGGATTGTATCTTAAAATTCTGAAGTTTTGGATTGAATTACCACTACCAAAAATGTGAGCATTGGTCACAATCATGCTGCTTTGTGTTGGATTTCGTTAGAGATCATAATTAATCAATCACCCATATTGTGTCTCCCTCCAAAAGCTCAAACTGAAACCTAAACTCCCTCGTCGACCAAAAAAAAAAAAACAATCCTTGAACTCCCTAGCAAATCAGAGCCCAATTTGACAACCAAGATCTTCATCGTTCGAGCATCAATGTTCTCTTAAATTTGCTGCGAGCAACCTACCATGAAATCTCCTTCATGGACATCTCATAAAATTAGAATGGTACAAAGAAGAGTAGTGTCACTCCTAAGCTAGGATTACACGTTTGAATCGCAAAATAGTTCCTCCTCCACTCTTTGATTCTCTCTTTCACCGGCTAACAATATTTTACATTACCATCTTTTGCTCTATTTGACTGAAGGACAAATTTTGATTGTCTAAATATTATATTAAACTACAAATAATATTGATATTACTTTAGTCTAAAGAAGGCTTTTCAATTGCATTGTACCAATGAATAGTGTTTTGAACCACATTTCAGTTTATTTACAAGACTGCCACTGGGACGCTTTTAGCCAACTTTTGCTTTATTTACAAAAATGCCACTCAGGCTTAAGACTCGATTTTCAGCCGCTGCATCTCAGGTTTTTACTAGGGGAAAGAGAGGGGAGGGGGACAGAACGAGCAGAGAGAGAGAGCCTGCGGCTTGCAGAATTACGATGATAGAAGAAGAAGCTCAAAAGTTTGATACGCCAAGTCGAAGGAACCCTAAAAACCAGAGAAGAAGAAGAAGCTCAGAAATCGGGTGAGGATGTTGACAAATCAGCAAGCCCAGTTTTAGGCGACTCTGCAAAACCAACAACCTAACCTCCGACGAACGATGTTAGAGGGGATTCGTCAGATTCGAGTCGAACCGAGGCCGTCGTCGACTAAGAGAACATTATCGATCCCGACTTTTGGATCGACTCCCTTTACCTGCTCCCTGTCTGTTACTCCTGCTCCGTCTCTCTTCTTGCAAGTTCGCTCGGGTTCTTCTCCCCAGTTATTTCAAGCACAAAAAATTCTCCAGTTTCATTCGTCAGCTCATACATACGTAAGCTCTTCGCCTCTTAATATTTTGATTTAGGTTAATTGTTAAATTCTTGAAAAAAATTGAAAGCATTGTTCATTTTTGTCCCAAATTGGTTTGGTTCTGGTTTGGAAACAGAAATTAAAACATATACTCCTTCATCTACGATTCACTTATTCCATTCCAGATATTTCTCCATTTCTCTCTTAATTTCTTACTTTTTGATTCAAGCGTTTAATTTTTTATTAATTAAATTACAAATAAGTATTATTGACTTTCATTTGGTACCAATCAATCAAGTGAGAGATGAGTTGTTTGAATGTTTGATTTTACTTGAATCAGAGTCTCCAAGGAGGAGAAAGAGAAGGATCCGAATGATTTAGGGTTTAGGTCTTAGCGTGTGAGCAGGCGTATTGATGACTGTAATCAAGGTATCACTTAAGCTCTAATTGTGACTAGTAAATTTTGAATGACTGCTGGTTACTGTTAAAACCCCAAATGTATGCAATCCCACGTTCCAATTTGTTGTGTGAAGATGCGGACCACAATTGCTTCCTCTCAGCACAATTAGTTTCCACGATTACTCTTAAACCCTAATTGTCTCTCCTCTATCTAAAATCCATTTTTCGATTTTTGAATACGGTAAATGGATATTGTTTCTATGTGCAGGTGTTACTCGGAGAAGTTTGAAAGGCCCTGGGACAATGAGGATTGCATTTCAGAGTAGCAGAAATACAAGGCCACCCTCTCTTTGTGTATCCAATCTTACCCTTCTCCTAAATTTTTATCAAACTATAGGATTTATTTTGCTGATTTTATTTTTTGCGATTTGAGTTTTTATCTCCTGCTTATTTTTTATTTTTTTGCCGAGGTATTACTTTTCCTTTGACTAGAAATTTTAGTGTTTTTAAAGTATAATGTTATCAAATTCTAATTTTCTAATTTTCTGATTTTGGCCTTTTGCAGGGAGTGCTAAGATACTAAATTTTTGGGATTTTTTATCTTTGCATGATTTTTGGTCTTTGAAATGGGTATGTGCTGTTTTTAACGTTTTGGTTCTCAAATGTTTCGTTCTTGATTTCTGTTTTCTGCCTCCTTCTAGGTTGCTTCGTGATTTTCATTTTCCATTGTTGGCTTATGGAATTTATAAAAATGGTTGTAGTTTTGTGACCAAATCCCAATAAGAGTATGCCGAAACACAGATTAGCATGTAGTGAACATACGTTGAATTAGAACAAAATTTAATATATAAGTGAAGGCATGTGCAGTGAACAGACATTGAATTTAAAATTGATAGGGTAGTTAAGCTTCTGCCTTAGTTATTCTTTGTCACTCACTTTTGGAATTTAATTCATTCATTTCAAAGTCACTCATGTACTCTGTCTTACTTTATTCACTCATGTTTAGTATGCACCATTGAATTTTTTTGTCATATATTATTCACTCATCTACTACACTAATGTTGAGATTTGGGTATCATTTGTTTTCTCATATGTCATGTTTTTAAGCCAAATCTAATATATAAATGGATCCAAAAACTCCTGATGTAGCACATTTAATTTGTTCAAATATTGATTCTTTTCCCTCTATTCACTTCAGTTGTCGTGTTCTTCTTCGTTCTTTTTTCAACGGCAAAGCTGGACGATCCATGGAGCACATGTTGTTGAGCCTTTTGCCACTACTGGTCTGGTCCAATTCGAAGGAGTTGTTGGAGTACAATCTTTAGGCCCTTTGGAGGAGCTGAAAAACCAGTCTCGACTCTGCTGACCTAGACATATTCCGAGATATGCTCCAGCTCCATAACGAATCGGACATCAGCCCGGTTCACTACTCTCACTCTTTCCTGCTTTCATTCTCAATTTTTTTTTGGAATTTTGCGCTGAATTTCATTTGGGTAATTTGTGAAGTTTTGTTTTTTTTTCTTCTTTTGTTAGGCAGCTTTTGGTGTGCCTGCGAATGTTGATTCGGCGATGCGTTTACAATAACGTCAAGAGGGAAAAGATTCAAAAGATGTTCCCAGTGTAGCTATTTTATAATTGATGAGGCTGTTGGTGCTTTTGATGCGGAAGTTTCAGCGAGAATGACGGCGAGATGCACACAAGGATCAGGTTAGAGATCTGTGTTGTTTGACATTTCTGTGTAAACATTTTTGAGTATCAAATATATCTCAAATTTAGGGTGTCGGTTATGGGCTACTAAAGCGGAAAGTTCTTTTGGCTCATACATTAAAGCGGCATGTGCTTTTGGCTCATACATTTAATTTGTTCAAATATTGATTCTTTTCCCTCTATTCACTTCAGTTGTCGTGTTCTTCTTCGTTCTTTTTTCAACGGCAAAGCTGGACGATCCATGGAGCACATGTTGTTGAGCCTTTTGCCACTACTGGTCTGGTCCAATTCGAAGGAGTTGTTGGAGTACAATCTTTAGGCCCTTTGGAGGAGCTGAAAAACCAGTCTCGACTCTGCTGACCTAGACATATTCCGAGATATGCTCCAGCTCCATAACGAATCGGACATCAGCCCGGTTCACTACTCTCACTCTTTCCTGCTTTCATTCTCAATTTTTTTTTGGAATTTTGCGCTGAATTTCATTTGGGTAATTTGTGAAGTTTTGTTTTTTTTTTCTTCTTTTGTTAGGCAGCTTTTGGTGTGCCTGCGAATGTTGATTCGGCGATGCGTTTACAATAACGTCAAGAGGGAAAAGATTCAAAAGATGTTCCCAGTGTAGCTATTTTATAATTGATGAGGCTGTTGGTGCTTTTGATGCGGAAGTTTCAGCGAGAATGACGGCGAGATGCACACAAGGATCAGGTTAGAGATCTGTGTTGTTTGACATTTCTGTGTAAACATTTTTGAGTATCAAATATATCTCAAATTTAGGGTGTCGGTTATGGGCTACTAAAGCGGAAAGTTCTTTTGGCTCATACATTAAAGCGGCATGTGCTTTTGGCTCATTTCTTTACAAAAGTTGAATATTTGAATCTGCTTATTTATGTTTTGAAATGAGTGTGTTTGTTATTCATGTTTTGGGAATGTTAAATCTTTTTAATTTTTTCGTTCCAGGACGAAAATATTTAACGAAATGAATTCTGACTATAAAGTTAATTGAAGCTCTGAAAAATTTTGTGGTCGAAAAGGATGACAGATTACTATAGTTTTTTTTCCTTCCTATCCAAAAACTACCTTTGATTTTCTTGATTGTGCGTATATTTAATATTTGCTATTATAATCGTTCCCAGTATAATAGCAGAACCTACTAGACGAGCAGGACCAAGTACCCGACCCTCTACAACAAAATCAGCCTGCTCAGAAACCCTAGCTTGAATGCGGTTC